CAACTGACGGGTAAACAAGGTGAGCACACGGCTATACAACTAGGCATGGATCGGAGTACCCCCTCCGTGAGTCGGCAAGTGGTAGACCGACCCTCACACAAACAATTTTGTGATATCGACTTCACCGCAATGGTGCGCGTGCCCGGATCTTCTGAGGCCTCTGGAATTCACCGCGTGTCCACAGTCAAAGATGTCAAGATCAAGCAAGAATATGGCATTGAAGTGTCAGCGACAGAGGGATCGACACAGACACGCAGAAGCACAAGATCCTCAGATCATCGGAGTTTGGGAGGGGCTCTGATGAAATTGAAATGAAAGAGGAAGATCGAGAGATCGATCTGGAAGATAATGCTCGAGTACCTCCTAGGGTTTTTCAGGGGCCATTGCAGATCGCTCTGTAAAGAGTGATCTGCCGGATGAAATCCAATAGCGAAAACTAAACCGGCGGAAGCCAAACCCTATCTTCTCGTCGACAGGTCCCCCGACCTCAAGCCTAGGAAGACGATCACGAAGTCTGCCACATCGGGTCGAGCCAAGATGAGAACGCCGAGATTGGAGTACAAAGATCACCAGGTCGGCCAGACCGTGGAATCGTAGATCGGGGTCAAAGAAATATACAAATCAGAACTTGACAAAATCGTGGTGCCACAGACAGAATACGACCCAGTGATGACCACATTCATGGAGAATGAAATGGCAGATAAGGGGTAGGAGTGCGCGAAATGGCAGTGCTATTTTAGCATTTTAGAGTTACTACTCAAGACATACCCAGTGTTCAAGACATTACAGCTTAGATTGATCGGTCCTCTGGATAGGCCGATCTCGGTCCCACCGCCCGGAATTAGCAAACCGACGCGATTGATTTGATTTTTCGGGTGTTAGAAGACACGCATTTTTGCCCATCCACTTTCGATGGAGATGACCTGCAGAGTTGCGGCTTGGAAAAGTTGGGGAACGCAAGGAGTGAATTCGTGGAGGACATAATACTTGTGGTGGGCAAAGCGAACACTCCAAAGGACAGGATCGCTATACACTCGGACTCACTCCGGGAGCGCCTCACAGGATCGCCCCACTATGCCTCAGCTGACTCTGAGATCAAGTCAGACGGGTCCTTCAGCATTCGCCGGATGTCTCTGGGACCATCGGGAGGATCGTTTCTATAAGACCGGATCAGCAAGGCCAGGATCAAAGCCTTAGAAGAGCAAGCCAAGATCGACATACAACCAAGGTTGACCGGTTCACTTATGATGTTGAAAGATCAGGACGAGAATGATTTGAGTCGATTCTTCAATGAAGCAATGGAGAAGCACGAGGCGGATGCACCTACAGCCAATCTGTTACCCAGATCGCCGTACTTTTCTCAAACTCTCACAAGAAAACTATGACATACCGAATGTGGACATGGAATTGGTGGAGTATAACACTTACAAATATACCTTCAGAGGGCGAATTACGATCCGGACTATCTGTAGATGGACAAGACAATACGACCTCAAGTTGCCGCGACCGTCACTCAGACGATCAGAATCTCATCGATGTCCGAGCTGAATGTGTTCTCGGGAAAGAATAGGCAAATTTGAATGGGCAAAGTGAAATCAGCGTTCCTCCGGGACCAAGTGCCGGACGAAGAGAAATGTTTAGCCGCAAATTTGAATGGGCAAAGTGAAATCAGCGTTCCTCCGGGACCAAGTGCCGGACGAAGAGAAATGTTTAGCTTTCGGCAATTTAGTGGTGGGCCCAGCCCGCTACTAGTACCTCCAACTAAGCAGATTGACGAGGTTCAGTTGGAAGAATCTGATGAATACTTTCCTTGTGGATAATGCGGGACTCGGGATGTCAGCGAGCCGGAAATATTACCACGCAAAGAAGCAATCGGAGGATAACTCCTTGGAATGCTTACATCAGCTCAACGTGATGGGAATGCAGGCAAATGTATCGGTGATGACGGGATTGCCCGATGTAAGCAAGGAACATGTCAACCATTTCATTAACACTTCAGATGTTCTCGATCTGTGCAATCAACTTATGTTGCTGAATGTAAGGACGCGGAGGCCATGCACAAGATACTGCACAAATATCAACGAGGGAGATAGCGCCAAGGGAAAGTGATGATGGAAACACCCAAATTCAGACATGAGGGAGCGCCAGCTGCAGTGCCGTCTAAGCCCGGACGGGCGGTGAGAATGATTCGTACTGAGGACTTCAGCAGCGAGTCAGGATCAGACATTTATGGATCGGAATCAGAAGTTAAATTGAGATCGATTCATGTGGCCGCTACTACAAATCGACGCAAACAGACCCGCGATACTTCAGCGAACACGAGATCGGAGGACCCGAGTATTCGTCACGACTACCAAGATCGCAGTGTGTCACGACAACTGTGTACTGATTGTAAACCGATCAAGCATGGAGATCTCGGCTGCTGGAAGCGGCTCACTTGCCAGAAGTGTGGGCGCATAGGACGTCCCTCCGACAATTGCTTCTTCGTGTGTCGCGCCTGCGGTGAGATGTATGACCCTGGAAACTGTCCAATGAAGGATTTCTACAACATGATCTGCCAGTGGTATGTCCCGAGCAAACATGCGGGGATGCTGCCAGAGAAGGCTGTGAAGATGTAAAACTAGAACGCTCGCCAGGTCGGAATCTGGTACGAGCCGAGCGTTCTAATTTCTGCATATTTGCATACGTGGTGAAAAGAAGACAGATCGCGAGAGTAAGCAGGATATTGACGTGGAACCAACTATATCTCGTTCGAAGTCGGAACGTGTCTCCTCTATCTCCAGTCTGAAGCAGATCGACAAGTATTGGAGATCTATACTGACTATGGAGATTGAGCTCGCTTATGGTGAAACTCGCAAATAATGGAAGCATCCATAGCCCAGGAAGTGGTTTAAGCATTCGAAGGCTGTTGGAAAGATCAACAACATAAAAGACACTCTGTTATTTGATTCTGATGCTGAAGTGTCGATTAGTGACACCACCTTTGCTCGTAAGGTCGGTTGTATCATAGACGAAAGTCAACGACAAGAATGTATCGGGATCGGAGAAAGTCCAGACATGACGAAAGAACGTACCAAGATCAAGGTAATCCTTGCGGGATCGCTTGTATATTATTTAATGCATTGGTAGGCGATCAAGCGGGACAAGATGTGATTTTGGGAATGGACTTTATGGTACCTGCTGGAGTGCAGCTCGATCTAGCCGATGGCGCGCTATGTTTACCAGAAGAAGTCCGTATTCACCTCTCAGGATGTCGCCGCGCGTATGGATCGAAGGTACAGTATGTAACGGCGAATGACCAACATGTAGGACCCGGTCGGGGAGTAAAGAGAAGTAAAGATTGATTTCGGTGGGACCAAGATGAAGTTCTGGGTCGCCAGAGGAACAGACTGGGTATCTACGGTGATCTCGGAATTTGGCAGGAAAAATTGTCTTAAGGTGACCAACATTGTCGATCGAGATATTATACTGCCTACTCATGCCATACTGGGCGTGTGGATGGAAGGCGACATGGTACCGCGGACTCAAGGCTTTGTAACGCTTAGATCGGGGAAATACAAAGAGTGGAAAATTCTGGCGCTTAAAGTTACGACGGATCGCATGAAGGAATTTCCAAAAGAACCTACCGGACCATTGGTAGTTCGCCCTACGTATGCCACCCCCAAAAGCATCATAAAACGACCATCTGATGCGCTAAAAGACATACCTCCAGCGGTGTCCAGGGTAACGCGGCAAGCTGGGAACGAGGAATTGCAAAGGGCAGATACCTTTGTTACGGGGGAAGGCCCAATAAACAAAGTTGGATCGACTCCACTCGATGAAGCGAATCTACCGTCGACAAAAAAACGTTCACAGGATCAACGCCCAGATAGCAATGAGAGGAGATCACAGGATCGAACGAAGAGGACAGGGCAACAGACTATCTTCATTGGACGCCGATCTTGCACACAAAAGGTCAGAAATACATCAGTCCGAGGAGACGAAAGAATCTGAGGAGGAGAGGTAGCTTAAGAACGACGAAGCTGAGACCGAAAAAGCATTAATCTACTATCACGAGAGTGAAGATTTGATGCTGAAGAAATCGCATAGCATATGGCGGTGTTACCAGAGATGTCTACTGCTACGGAGAAAGTGACCATTGATTACATTCGATTAGGCGATCCTAATGTCCTCTCACCACAGATCAACAGAGACCCAGATCGTTCATATGGAAGATCTGTCACCTTCTTTTGAGAAAGGGCAATGCTCTACCGCCAGCAGCACGAGGGGCGATTTGTGATATCGATGTCGGTGGAGCCGCATTAATTGCGCAAAGAGTCCGTCCGGTCGCACCCAAATATCGGGAGAAGCTGTCAGATCTCATCAAAGGACTATTAGCAGCCAAATTTGTTCAGCCATCCACGTCGCCTTGGGCGTCTTCGATAGTGGTGATTATCAAGAAGAATGAAGTGGATGTTGGTCTCTTTATTGATAATCGAAGAGTGAACCAGCTGACGTGCCTGATGGTTTACCCCATGCCGTTGATCAGCGATCTGTTGGAAGATCTGGATAAAGCTCTAAGGTACTGCTCGCTAGACATGGCTAGTGGATTTTGGGTCGATAAAATGACTAGACGAGCAATACTGGTCTCAGCGTTTGTCACACCGTTTGGCTTGTTCGAGTGGCTGCGAATGCCTTTTGGGCTTAAGAAAGCACCTCAGATTTACCGACGTCTGGTTGACAAAGCGCTGTATGGATATCTAAAAACGGACAGAGATCAGCTTCTGATGGCCCGATCGATGTGTTCAAAGCTGTAGAACTTGAGACAGATTGGCGACCTGTCTATACTGGGACGCCGATCTTACATTGACGATATTCTCATACCAGCCACGTCATGGGGATCTTTGTAAACAAAAGTAGAACGGTTGCTGGAGGCATGTGATAGGTGGAATCTGTCAATCAGCCTCACGAAGAGCTTTTGGGGGTGCCGTAAGGTCGATTATTTGGGACATCGAGTGTCGATGGATGGTCTGGAGGCTCAGCCCAAGAACCTAGAGTCGTTGGGCCCCATCCCGTTTCCTAGCACGCTACGAGCTATGCAATCCTTTCTCGGGAGCTTGAACTACTACCGTCGCTTCATTGAGGATTTCGCGGTGTATTCCGCGGTGTTGTATGAGTTAAGAGAATCGGATTTCTTCGAGATCGGCCGATCTCAGCTTGCAGCAGGAGACGAATGCTCCAACGAGGGTCGATGGACGGAAGCCAAGGTTGCTTTCACTATGCTAAAAGCTAAGATAGCTACATCTCCCATGCTCAAGCATTTCGACCCAGATCGGTCCCCCGTAATCGTGGTCTACGCTAGCAAGTGGGCTGTCTCAGCGGCCCTGATACAGGAGTACGATGGCGTTTATCATCCGGTTACGTTTACTAGCCGCACTTTAAAGCCTAATGAGCTTAACTACGGAATGGTAGAAAAAGAAGTGCTGGCGCTACTTCGTGTGTTGGATGCATGCTATACTACGCTTGCCTCGCGGGAGATCACTGTACTGACCCGACATTCTACGTTAGCCTGGTTGATGCAGTCTCGAGGGCTCAACGGGAGATCAGGACGGTGGGCTGCTTTGTTGTCAAATTGGACTATGGAGGTGAAGAAATGTGAAAGAGGAGAGGAAGAAATACTGGGCATGTCAGCAGCGAGTATCACTCCGAGAGGAGAGGTGGAAGAGATGCTGATTGCGATCTCCCCACGAAAAGACTGTCGACTCAAAATATCGATGCCTCCTCCAACGGTGGAAACAGATGAGGAGTTGCTGGTAGCCAGCACTTTCGATTTTCGATGGATCGGCTAGGGTAAAAAAGAAAGGAGGGTCGTTCAGTGCCGTGATATGGAAGTTACCCGAATGGACGATCGTGGCGGCCGAATCGAGATATGTTCACGATCTGACTGTGAACGAAGCTGAGTATAATGGCTTGCTACTGTGCTTTGAGTTACTCGCCGGTCTGGATAGGGGGCGAGTAATACTGTGTGGAGATTCCAGTCTGGTGATTCGACAGATGCGCGGTGAGATCGACTGCAAGGCACCGGGCCTTCAGCTTCTGAGACACAAAGCGTTAGAGAAATTGCGATCTTCGCCTATTCACGAATTTCTGCATATGAAGCGAGGGTGGAACCAGAGCGCAGATCGACTGGACAGCACAGCATTGCAGAATGAAAAGGGAAGAACGGTTGTAGCTGAAGAGGATCGGCAAGATCTGATGACTCTGAACCGTCTCGATGAATTGTTGAAGCCCAAGCAAGACGGTCAGCTAGCTCGGGTAACTGCGATCGCGAGATCATCCAGGAGGATACGTCATGAACCTGAAGTGATACAGGAGAAAATTGTACAGAGGATCAGGATTAAACGAATTGTCCAAGCTCAAGATGAAGAGCGTTAGATTGTCAATCTCAAGAAATATCTACGTGGCGATGTATCAAACTTGGATGCGGTAGAAGTGAAGATGTGCGCCAAACTGGCGCCGGAATACGAGATCGTTGAGAATGATCTGCTATTTTGCTGACCCATGGCGAAAAGAGAGTCAGAAGATCGCGATGGTTTGATGCGGTTGGTGATCCCTGAGACGTTGCAGCAGGATTTTTTGCATCACTATCACACGAGTCTGGAAGGAGGCCATCAGGGTATTGGCCGAACCTATCAGAGGATCAGATCGCGATTTCATTGGAGAGGACTGTATCGGAGCGTTCAACGATATGTGGGCGAATGTACCGACTGTGAGACCGGGAAAGGAAACCCGATGGTTCATGGGAAATCCCCGGGCAATCTGCACGCAACCTATCCATTCCAGATCATCGCCATGGATTATATACCGTCGTTGCCCAAGTCCATCAAGGGGATTACCGAACTGCTCATTTGGGTCGACCTTTTCTCGGGATATGTGATTGCAAAGGATAGCTCATCACGGACGGCACAAACAATAGCGGAGAATTACGAAGAATGTGTGTCTCGACGCTTCGGAGCTAGCGAGGCTATCAGGCACGATCGAGAATCGAGATTTATGTCCGACTTCTTTCGAGCCTTCAGTCGGATCGTAGGACAAAAACAGCGTGCTACTATGGCTTACAGGCCACAAGCAAATGGAACAGCCGAACGAATGGTGCAAACCCTGACACATTCGCTCAAGATGTACGTAGCTGAAGTTGACCAGCGAGACTGGGATGAGTATGCTGAGCGGCTCACATTTGTCATTAACACTGCACAAGATCGGATCCGGGGGGATGCCCTGTTTTATCTGATTCATGGGTGGGACCCGCGATCGACTTTGGAGGCTACGCTACCAGTGGGGAATACGGGGACACTGGATCGCGATCCAAAGAGGTGGAGATACATAATCCAAAGACAGTACTAGCGAGCCCGATATGCAGTGAACGATCACTTACGAGCCGCGATTCAAGAAAGATCGAATCAACACAATGAAGACCTGGAGCCGCACGAGACCGAAGTGGGCAGCAAGTTTGGCTATACCTGGACCGAGTTAAAGAGGGATATGCGAAGAAGCTAGCGCACATGTGGCATGGGCCATTCTGAGTTGCGGACGTATGTGGAGATCATGCTGTAAAATTGGAGATCGCTGGAACCCTAAATCGGTTATTTCCGACTGTACATTTATCGAAGCTAAAAAGGTAAAGACGTTCCCTGAACGCCCGAAAGATCAGCTTACGATAGAGGAATCAGATCGCTTGGATTTCGATGAAGCTCTGCTGCCAGAAGACAGTTGGGATGGCGATCTTGAAGAAGGGGAATACGAAGTAGATGCGATATTGGATGTGCGATCTGGTAGAAAAACCCGTTATGGGCGAGTACACCGGCAGTTTCTGGTGAAGTGGAAGGGATATCCCGATCTAAGTTGGGTGGACGAGGCCGATCTAAGTTGTGGGGCGATCTTGCAAGAGTTTGAGCGGAACCGAGTGAGTCGAAATCGTTTCGACGTAGTGCAGTCTCATGAAGGCAAGTCGGAAGAACCTTAACAGTTCGAACAAGTATGCGGGAGGTAGCATATGCGGATGTAGGGGTTGAAAGATGTGCTAGACGGTAGCACATGCTGGTGGATGAGGTTTTTGTATGTGAGTATGGAGATAGTCAAGTGAATTACCTTCCTGAATGATGTGGATGCGTCGGAGAGACCGTGAGACGGACTTGAGTGCTTGGAACGAAGTTGATGCGTGACTGTACTGAGGTCATTTGCTGTACAAAAGACTTCAGTACGGGGGGCAGTTGTGTCAAAGTCACTACTCAAATTTTGTACGAGGGGCGGTGGCCATACCTTTAAAGCGCCGCTTACTGGTGGAAAGGAGGCCATGAGAGTCGGCGATACAATACGGAGGTGGAAGATGATCTTAACGGGATCGGCGAACCGATCCAAGTGTCGTTAGACTAATGGGTATGGATCGACCTGGGACGGAGCGATCTGGAACGATTTACATGGAACAATCTGGGACAAGGATCTGGGACCCGGATATGGGATATGACTCTGCAACGAAGGTGTAACATCTTGCAGAATGTTGTGGGGCGATCTGGAACCAGACATCGGAATGAAGTCATACAGCTCATTGGAATGCCGGTCAAGAAGAAGTATACGTACATTGAAGCAGGCTAAGATCAGATCGCAGATCGACATGTTGTGGCAATGGTTTGTTGGAGAATTGACACATCTGGGACAAGGTGACTCCCCAAAGTGCATCTGGGACCAGGTGGTACGGGTCGGTGAATCGGCAAAGAAGGTGCAACACCATACGGATCGGTGATACTCTTTACCGATCCTAAATTGGGAGTACTGATTTTGGTTAATTATACACCGATCTGGAAGTTTTTGCATACTCAGGGGAGTCAAGGAAACCGATGTCGAGACGTATGAATGAAGTTGTCGATTGGATAACACTGGAGGATGATATTGAAGCACGTATGAGGAGATGAAAAGGTGTTAATTGCCGATTTAGACCGGATCGACCTCCAACATCTCGATATTGGATGACAGATCGGTCATGTTCCACACTGATCATGAATACATGGTTGATGAAGATACTGGATCATGTGGAATATACTTGATAGAGGTCACTAAGTGATGTCAAGAAGTTTCATGCCGAAAAAGCCAGTGGAAGCTGTCCGAATTGACGTCGCAAAGTGAATTTGGACACATTCGGCATTTTGGGTCATATATTGGGTACTTGGGTGCCAAGAATGGGTATTTGGTACCATATAGGAGATTTTGGTCCATTTGGTGCTCTAGGTACGATATCGGGGATATTGGCACTATCATTGGAGTACAGGGCACGAAATTTCGACACGTGACAAGGGGGCGAACCAGATTCAAGGCGATATCGGTTTGAAGAGTGACCTATAGTTAAGAATAGGCTTAAGGGTAGGTTGGATAGTCATTTGGTTGGTTAACAAAGAGACTTGAACTCTACTTCTTCTGCTCACGACGCACGTTATCCTCCCCTCTTCTCCAGGCAAGATTGATTTGGCTTCCCCGGCGGGTTAAGGCACGCGTGTTACAGGGGCACAGAAGACCGATCTTGGATTGTTGGCCAAGATCGAGAAGAGCGATCTCGGGAAGTTTGGCCCGGATCGATCAAGTGCTCACACTCAACTCAACTGCTAGGGTAGCAGCACACAACGGAAAAGGAAAGGGATTTTGGACACAATATCGCGGGGCGGCTCAAGTGGTCAGAAGATCTGGACAAGGCGTTCAAGACAAGACCGAGCGGGATCGAAACGATCCCCTGGACAGATCGGCACGTTTCATTTTGGCGAAACAAGACACCGTCTACCCAAATTGCGCACTTCCGGCAAGATCAGCCGACCCCAAGGCAAGATCCACGCAGGACTTTTATTTGCTGAGTGAAGATTTCCGCACAGCAAAGACCCCGATCTTGATGACAAATCAAGATCGGTGCAATCCAAGATCGGGATCGCAGAACCCCCTTTCGTGGTGTGAAGATTTCCGCACCGGAAGCGAACCCTCAACCCAACCTCTCAGCGAGATCGACATCTCCCAAGGCCGTTACGAAGAGATCAAGCCAGCCCAACCGACGGGTACACAAGGTGAGCACAAGGTCATACAACAAGGCACGGATCGGAGTACCCCCTCCGTGAGTCGGCAAGTCTGGGCAAGTGGAAGATCGACACTCATACAAGCAATTTTGTGAGATCGACTTCACCACATAAGCGCGAATCTCGATACTCCACAGATAGCGGTAAGTTGGAGTACACATCGGGGAGAGCTAGCTGTACCAGCATAAGCGTACGTACTAACGTGGAAGAGATCCACGCTGCTCGTGCAGCTTGAGAGCATTGATCAATGCCCACTGAAACATTGTGATGAAGACAACGAATGCAATGAGAGAATCTTTGTCTCGTGGTCATTGGTGAATGACACATGGTGTGTGCCTTTGTTGAGGAAGCTTGAAGAGGACGAAGGAAGTCTTCACAGGAAGTGTAGGCGACGCGAGTAGGAGAGGTAGAGTCAAAAGTGTTGATTCATCGGAGTTTATTCTACTTGCACCCTGATGTTTGTGCTTTCCACATATAAATCATGTAGGTCTTTCAATCCAGCTGCTCGTATCAGGACCTCGGGTTTTATTACCGTAAAAACGATGCCGTAAATACTACGCTTCAAGTTTGGACTGAAAGAGTAGCCATCAATACTACAAGAAGCTGCTCATGTAATCTCAACGAAGTTGGTGTGGCACGTTGTGATCAGAAACATCGCTGGTTTTGCTCACCCACTGGCGCATGAGGGTGCATCGAATGTACCTGTTCTTCATTCTCAAATTAGCCTGAGTGGCGTGGAT